CTTTCGTTACTTTCTCAAATATCGAAGAAAGCAGTCCATCGTATCATCGTCAATATGATTTCTTCATCTCAAAATTTTCTCAAATGTGTCATGCAACGTACGGCGAGGATTCACGGAAGATACGTAGTGCAGGACTGAAAGGGCTACGAGGTACTGATATTTGAATCTGGTTCATGTATTGTATTTGCCCATGTTGTAAGCATTTCACGCTGACGGGTCAGTGAACTCGCGGCCCAGCACAGCACCTTCCTTTTTGGTACGCGTTTCCGCTATAGTACGGTAAAGAGCAGGAGCGCGCCCTAGAAGAGGGTATAGTGTGGGTCCGATACTGCCTGTGATCAGGGTGGTGTGTGTCTTCAGAGGCAATGCCTTGCGATCAAGTTATCCCTTGTGCGTTTGGTTGCCAGGTAGCGATCGCAGAGAGTATACCACGTTTCGTCACACGAACTTGCGATATAAAGCAGTCAGAGACGCATAGCCTTTTACTACTTTGACGTTTTCAAGCTACGAGACAACGATTTACACCAATAGTTACCGCGCACGTTGCCTGCAGCGTCATAGGACGATCACATATGCTCGTCACAGAGTACGGTAGCGTTCCATTCTTGCGAGGCTCCTTCCAAGCCGTTCCCGTGCACTTTGACCGGGGAAAGTGGCACGCTATTGTAACTGCGGACCCATTCACCGCTTGGCAGAAACCAGCCCCCCATGGCGATCAGTGCTCAGGTACCAGTATTGTCCAGGAGGCGAGAGAACAATAATTGGAACATCTGCCTAGTTTCCATGGTGAATGCCAGGTTCGCTTGGATATACTCATTATCTTGAATCAACACCGAGTACATGGCGCAATTTTTACAACTGTTGGCCGGCGAGAAGGCTGACATCAACGCGGCAAACAGAGCAATAGTAATGGGGGAAATTAGCTTAAAAGAGAACGAAGTCAAGTTTTTTGTTGGTCCCTCTTCGTGTTCTGGTCTGTGCCAGTAATTGTTCACGGAGTTGATCGGCAGTTCACCCCTGGTCCTTGGTGGCTTTCAAGTTGTCCGTAAATATTTGAAATGTTTGTCGCATCCGATGAGCACCTTTTTGCAAGTACTAGGGCTCAGGGGTGAGTTTCAGGGAGAAAAGTTTCCTTGGTGCTGTTACGAGATCTGAGGTATATCGTTAAATCTCGGGGAGGATGGTATTTCGCAGAGAAAAAAATTCCAGTGGCAGGAAGTGTCCTGTCAGGAGTATGCGAGAAGTTAGAAATGGTAAATAATGGTGAGAGAGAAAAGTGCTGAAGTTCTGGGTTGATTATCCTAAGGATCTGGCGCATGCGGGAATTAGGGCAAGAACTGAGTTCAGGTGCATCCGAGATTTATCACTTGATGGGAGATGACGTGTCGTTGACGTCACATAACACATGAATGACGACAGTACCATGTCAGTGGCTCAGGGCACGTTAACATGTTATATGACGTCAATGATACGTCATCTGTCTTTTAGCCAGTTAGGTACTGTCAGTACTGCGCTACATAAGCACCGGTACTAATAGGTGAAGTATTTCCAGGAGTTGTATGGAAATCAGTAACAGACGATTTACATCCAAATATCTGGGAAAAGCAACATATGGACAAAATCGTGCCGTCAATACTGTTCAATCTTCAAGAAGCAGGTAATCTATTTAGAAAATCGATATATTCACTGGTTTTTGGGCCGCTAATCATCAATTTTGGTGGGTTTTTCATAGAACTTTGAAAATCAATCGGCTACTATTTTTGAATTTTCTTGGAGAGGTATAATATATCCTTCAGATATTGGATGAACCCACTAAATCGTTGACGTTATTCGCTCCACTCAGCGACGATCCAAATCGTGAAGAAAGTCCACGAGCCTTATCCGATCGATGTTTACGTGAACTTATGGGAAAGGTATGGAATGATTGATTTTATTTTCGTTTTCGCTTTTCCTTGATTATTTCCATTTATTCTGATTTTCTAAAAATCCTTGAAGGTGTTTGATCTCTGCTTAGGTTCGTGTGGGGCGGAATGCAGGGCCACCATTGAGCTTTTTCAATGGCGCATCCCTTTTCGTTATCGCCATTGAGGCTAGGATGCACCAGCGAGGCAGCCTGGGGTAGGTCTGACTGAGCCTCGACAGCCACAATGTGGATGTTCCTTGTGAATGTCCTATTGTTATGGACGCTATACTTTCTTTTCTGAAATATGTTGCAAAATTTTGGTCAGTGCTTAAAAAGGGCGTCTGCCGTTGGGGGAAAAACCCAGAAAATAGACCCTCGCCGCCCCCCTTCGAAATTTTCAAGTTTCTCTCCAAAATTTTTTATCGAGCAGGGGGAGGGGTAGAGGTCGTCAAGACAGCCAATCTAAACCCGTGATTATTATATCTATAATTATTATTAAATACTAGTGGTATGCAGTAGTTCTGATGCGCTTACTGGGGGCATCAAACAATTCGGAGAAATTCATTTGTCGGACGAATACGACTCCCCTTCGCCCAGCCCCAATACGACCCCGCCCGTTCAGTTAGCCATCGAGCGGAAAGGGGGGGGGGTCATTACAATCCATTATAATTCAACTAGTGAAACCATGCCATTAAGACGCACACTGCACCTTCACAAGTGCACCATTTTAATTTATTATTTTATTAGTGCAATATTTTATTGCATCGTAATAGTGGGGAGCAGGATTTGTGACTAGACACTGGACCTGGTTTCATAGTTGAAACTAAGTAGTTAGTTGTAATGATGCACGCCCCGTCCTCCCGCTTCGCTTCGATGGCTATTGGCGGGGCGGGGTCGTATTTGTCTGGGAAGGGAATGAAAGGGAATGATCGCAAATAGTTTGAGCCATGGAAAAAAGAAAAAGTTACACAGCGCAGCTTTGTCGAGCCCCTCTCTCTTCTCTCTCTAGCGCACTGGTACAACCCTGCCTTGTGGTTTCATTAAGGATGATTGAAAAAGACGTGCCCAAAAGACTACGAGGGTGAAAAGCTCCTCTCCTAAATGCATGGGTTTTTTCTGGAACGGCTGAGTGCAGCTATGAGGGACTTGCGTGCTGTTTGAGGTTGATGCAGAGTGAGTTTTCGCTATGAGCGACATTTGAAGGGCATCTACGGCGATGAGTTTGTCTGGCGATGCTCCAACTTTCAAGGCTATGGAAGAATCTAGGGATATGCGATACGCATTTCCAACTACAGGGACGAGATGGTGTTTCACCGCTGAACAATCCTTCCTGGGATGCGGCACGCATACTTCCTTCATTGAAAATCGAAGTGGTGTCGTAATCGTGATCAGCACGTTTAACACCCCCTCCCCTCCCAAATGCAAACTTTCGCCACTTTTTTGAGTCTTCAGAGTGGCAGTGGTTAAAAGTGCAAGGTATGCTTTTGAGTCTTCAGAGTGGCAGTGGTTAAAAGTGCAAGGGTATCTTTTTAATCTGTGGCGATGAACTGGAAATCTCCGGGGTCTAATTGAATGGCTGTTGACGCGCCACTAATCCCATGCGTCCATCAAGCTCTACTGAATAATCTGGATTATAAGAGATCCTGTCTCTCATTTCAACTACTTGGTGTGAAGTCAATGTGAGGGATACTGAACTTTATGGTGCATATTACCGGAGAGTTAGGCGTTTGATCACTTTGTGCCATTTCAGTTAAGGCGAATGCCTGACCAATCTTCTCTACTTTCCAAAATAATGACATTTGTTACTATTTTACTAAGTCTTTTTCTTGCTTGGCGGGACCGGAAGCTGTTGAACTATCATCTGAAAGCACAGGCACTGCATGCCAACGCGTTCGGGCGGAATAGCGAAGCAATTGTGGGCTTTTTCTTCGGGCACCCCTCTTGGAACGGCTTCCGTGCTGAAGAGAATGTTTTACCGATTACGCCCTCTACAAATTGAAATGGCGGCGTCAGTGTGACCGTTCTTTGCGAATTTATGTTTCCAATTTCCAGTCTAGTTCTCTCCAAAAAAATTCTGACGTCAAGCGTGGGAGAGGCGGAGGAGTGGAGGGAGTCACCTGGAGTGTGACGAGCTTGAGGTTTCCTTCCCTAGAACGGCCTTCGGTTAGACTCAAATTGGGTCTAGTGCGAGCGATTTTGATTAGTTGCCCAATAAAATTTGTGACATTTTTTTGAATCTCGATATGAGATCTTCTTCCGCAGCATTTCGAGATCGCATTTTATGTGGTCTATGGGAAGTGTGTTAGGTAAGCATCCCACAGCTTCTTCACCGTCCCTCGCAGTCGCTGTTCTCATATGAAAACGGTAATTGAAATTCATCATTTTCGACACACTTCGCTATATGAATCTCTACCAAGCCACAACGTGGTTGGAGCCATAAGCGGCATTTCCCTTATTTAGATCTTGATGTTACCTTCCACAGTACGGCTTTGGAATGGCCCAATTGCTTCCGCTTTAGTGACTTCTATCCGGGTGAAAAACTTCGTCCAAGGAGGCCACCTGCCTTGGATCAACCTACTGTGTTACTTGATTACTTGACTGGTCCCAAAGCACAAATGTGAGAGGGCCTCGCTTCCTTAAAAGCTTCTGAAGTTCGGTCAAAATTTTTCTCATGTGTTGACAGTACTCCAAGGGGAGCACATAATAATGGGTACCGTCTAAAATTTGTCTCCCCGCTTCCGTCGTAGGGGTGAGGGGGAACTGGTGACAGCACTGTAAGGAATATGGAGTGAGTGGGGCCTTTAGGTGAATCACTTCAGGAGCGCAGCGGCTAGATCCCCAGAAAGGGCAGAACCGATCGCGCAATCCTATCAATCCAGTAGGGCGGTGAGACTGTGTATGTGGTGGGGTTTCTTTCTCCCTTCCCAAACGGAATTTCTTCCTTCCAACGCTGTGGTAACCAGAGAACCCTATTGTAAAATCAGCTTGGCAAAAGTGGGGTGGATAAATCCTCTACCAATTTGGGTCCCAAATACCGAGCAATGTTGCCACTTCAACCACCCTTACAAGGTCAACATTTTGGGAAACGACACTGCTCGAAGATCCGAAGCTAGGGCTGGGGAATTCCTGCACAGTTTCGTGTACCCTGACTCAGGTCTTTCGATCGCACATCTGTAACTCACCCGACATGCCGGCTTTTGTAAAAAAAATAGATTTTCAAATGTACGCGAAATTGACGCCAGCTGGCTTTTGCTGGGCACAGACCAACCTAATATATGGTACCTTTGTTGAAGTCTTCTTTCTCCGGACATGTCGATGTTTCGAAATAAAGCCCGTCATTGAGATTTTGATTTTTAGCATCATTCGGTTCGCTACGGGCGGTTATGGAGCCGGTGTTGAAGCACATGGATTTGCATGCTCACTGGAAACCACCACCGATATTTGCGATTCATGTTTTCAAAGCCATCATCTACAGTATCCAGAGCCAAAACAGTTACTTTGTTATACAGGTGAGTATTCGAGTGATAATGCCTTTCTTCTGCTTTTACTACTCGAACGCAGGTTGTAGCGAGAGGCCGGTTTTTTGACAATTGGTAGAGATGGCGTTGCCCTGACACATGTTGACTCGGCGAGGGAGTCTTTTATTGTTTCATTTTCAGCAACGGTCAAAACCCTTCATTAACATGTCTCATGTGACGTCAATGACACGTCATCCATCTCTGAACAGATCAGGCACTGGGGCGTACCTGTGCTACATCAGCGCCTATTTTGGATCAGGGTGTTTTGAGAGGTTTATTTCATTACTTTTAAGGAACTGATTAACCATCTCGATTCGATGAGTAGTGCTGATGCTGTGATTCGCATTGGAATTGCCACCGTGCTTTCTAATATAGTATCGATCGCTGGAACGAGTATAGGTAAGGTTAATGGAACGATCAATAGTTCAATGGATCAATATGCCTTGCGAATTGTTCGAACCACAATTGTTCCCAGCTGCGTCACGAAGCGCCCTCAAAATTGAGAGACCGAGGATCGAACTGTTCAGCCTAACCCCGCCTACTCACAAGCCACGCCCCTTACGGCTAGTAGAGGCTGATTAGGGTTGGGAGGAAAATATACAATGTGCTGGTATACCATGAAAATTTCAGGACCGTTGCTGTTGTCGATTTTCAACTCTCTTCTGAAGCACTTGCGAACATCAGTAGATTTTGAGAGGTCAGAGAAATGCAAGGATTCTGAGGCCGAGAAGATGTATCAGGAGGCGCTAATCAACGCTATGGGCGATTTTGCGAATGCGCTGCCGGATTATCAGAAGGTTCGTTGATTATTGCTACTCATACAGTCCTTATCACTGGAGTCAGCCGATGTATGTCAGGGGGGCATAGCTTTTGACGCGGCGCCAGCCCATTCTCCACCAATCGTTGCAGCTTCAGGTGTTTAATGAGTGCTACATAAATGGCTGGCGCCGCACCTAGGCCCACGGACACGCCCCGACTGATTCAGGGGTAACGAAGTGATCACCACGGCTGGAAAACCCTCCAAGGGGATTTTCTACCTTGTGAACTTGAATAGTTCATATTAACCCAAGTGTCACGCTTTATCGAATTCCTAGTTTGTGAGTCTATGCCCATACGTGTCCCATACGTTCCAATAATGGTAGGAGATCAGAATGAACTATTGTGCG